TTATATTTAAGATTTAACTGAAAGTATTTTAAGACCTCATTTCTCCTATCCAACATAATATTGGGTTGGCAACTAAGTAATTGTGGATTTCACTCATAGATGGCTTCAGTTGAATTTTTAGGGTTGCGGACATAACATAACAATAGGGGCGCTTCCTTCTTATGAAAAGAAGGAAAAGAGTTTAGGCAAAATTGCCCTTTACTCTTCCGCCATTTGATCATTTAAATCAAGGGATTTAAATGGTAACTCCCGTAAAAGGTAAGTAATAAATAAATAGATAAGATCCCAAACTGACACCAAATCTATAGTATCAGCAAAAGATCCCATCTCTAAGTTCAAGGTGTCGGCTGGATCGTAAAAACTTCCCTATTGGATGGAAAACCGATTCAATCCCTCCCAAAACCAAAACGCAAATTCTTGACCAAACAAGAGTGCGATGGAGAGTCAAATAAATAAATAAATAAATAAGGAGGGCAGAGGTGCATTCTCAAGCCAAATGGCCAGGTAGTGTATAAAGATTTGATATCTATTTTCAAATTATATTCCAAAACACAGCTATGAGAGGGAAATCCCTGCATAATTTCTTTTCCAAAAAAAAAAAAAAAAAAAAAAAAGAACTCATAGGGCATCTCAATGCTTGTTTCTTGTGGTTTCAAATTCACCTTACCTGTAGGTGTTTAGTATACATCAGAAACCCTATTATGCCAGAGAGCCCTTTGTATAGAAGGGCTTGATCAAAGGTAATATAGGGAAACCCAAGGAATTTGTTTCTAGGGACAGAAAACACCGGACATCGTCCCAGAAAGTGAAAAGGTGTTTCCTCTTCTTCTCCACAAGCTGGGCAGAGAGAAGATCGACAAGACCACATTTGTGGAGATGCTTAGCTAGATAAGCATGTCCAGTAACAATTTGAATTACCTGGCGTAAGTTAGGTCTACTGAGGTGTATGAGTTTACCTGAAAAGTTAAGTGTACTGAGCACCCAATTTAGAATGAGCACAGTCTGGTAGTTTAGACCATATATCATCATCATGTTTGTTCTTTATCCGCTTCTTACTCTTTTTTAACCGTTTGATATGAAACTGGGTAAAATGGTTCTGGGCCAGACATGGGTAGTTGCGAAGCATCTTAGCTACTTTATCAGCTAGTTCATTTCCAGCAAAATCACAATGACCTGGGACCCAGACTAAACTAATGGTATTATGGGTTTGAGCCAGAATTGAGATCTTGAGTACAGTTCAAAACACAGTTTTTGTAACTTGACACGATTAGCCAGGGCAAAGGATGGCTGATTGACTGTCAGAGAGAATATATATATACTTATCGACTGTATTTTTAGCTAAGAGCTCCCTGGCGACCATATTGATTGCCAGAACCTCGGCTTGGAAAACAGTTGTTAATTTACCAAGGTATAGATGAAATCTAATGAAATCTCTTCAGATCCCTTGGTTCTTATAATAGCTCCAGCTCCAGTGAAGTTGGATTTTGATCATCTGTGTAACATTCAATTGATCCTGTTGGAATTAGGTCAATTAGAGATTCTATCTCATTCCTTTTTGGTAATGAGTTGAGAATAGTTGATCTGGAACTATTGTTTTAGTAATTGCATCTTTGGGCATATAGATTATAGGGATCTCATTGCCAAGTCCAGACATATGTCAATGTGGGTTTTCAGGTGGCTTTTTATGACCAAAACCTGTCCTTTGGCACCATGTGCCATTTTTATTCAATCTATACATGGCTTTAATTGCTTCTTCTCCGCCCAAGAATAATTTTAAGGGTGGAATTTGCAGTAAAAATTCTAATGCAGCAGTAGGGTACTGTTTAAAGCCCCACTAATGCATTAGGCAAGCAAGTCTTTTCACCTTTTGTAAAATGTTTAATATGTGCTTTTGTTAATAACATTGATTCAGACCCCGCATCCGTAAGAAAGCACTTGACCGGACTATAGGCAGTATAAATCCATAGAGTAGATTTTGGATTTAGGCCCATTGTTTACCAACGATTCGCCTGCAAAGTACTAGTACATTTGTGGCTGTTTGTGCCTTTTCTTTTATATGGGTGATCCATGTAAGTTTACTATCCAGGTAACACGTAGGTATTTAACGCTTTCCTTACGCCTAAGGGTTGCGGACATAGTACAAATGTAAAACACATTTTGTTATTTGATAGTTGGCAATTCAGCTGTCAATCAGTAAAAAACGTTTTTTTTTGATCGGTTGCGTAGTTTTCGTTGAAAAATGGAAAATCAAAAGGAACATTTTCGTCATATTTTGCTTTTTTATTTCCGCAAAGGGAAAAACGCATCGCAAGCTCATAAAAAATTATGTGCTATTTATGGTGACGAAGCCTTAGAACGGCAGTGTCAAAATTGGTTTGTCAAATTTCATTCTGGTGATTTTTCACTCAAAGATGAAAAATGCCCTGGTCGTCCAGTTGAAATTGATGACTACCTAATCAAAGCAATAATCGATTCGGATTATCACAGTACAACACGCGAGATTGCAGAGAAGCTTCATGTATCACATACATGCATTGAAAATCACTTAAAACAAACAACTTGGCTCTGTTTGAAAAAACTCGATACATGGGTTCCTCACGAACTGAAAAAAACGCATTTAACGCAACGCAATTAACAGCTGCCATTTGCGTAATGAAAATGATCCCTAAAGAAAGAACTAAAGAAACGTAATGAAAATGATCCATTTTTAAAACGACTGATAATTTGCCGATGAAAAATGGGTTGTTTACAACAATATCAAGCGGAAACGATCGTGGAGCAGGCCAGGTGAACAACTCAAACAACATCAAAAGATGATATTCATCAAAAGAAGGTTTTGTTATCAGTTTGGTGGGATTACAAAGGAATTGTCTACTTTGAACTCTTACCACCCAAACCGACGATCAATTCTGATGTCTACATTGAACAACTAATGAAATTAAACAATGCAGTTGAAGAAACGGCCCTGGGAAACCAAATTGCCAAATTGACAATCGAAAAGATGTTGCATTCCATCATGACAATGCAAGGCCCACACACATCTTTGGTCATTTGGCAAAATTATTGGAGCTTGGTTGGGATGTTTTTGCTACATCCACCATATAGTCCTGACCTTGCACCATCTGATTACTTTTTGTTTTGATCTTTATAAAAACTCCTTGAATGGTAAAAATTTCAATAATGATGATGATGTCAAATCGTACCTGATTCAGTTTTTTGCTAATAAAAACCAGAAGTTTTATGAACGTGGGATTATGATGCTTCCTGAAAGAGGGCAAAAGGTCATTGATCAAAATGGGCAATACATTACAGAATAAAGTTATTTAGTTCCATGAAAAAATTGTCTTTGATTTTCTAAAAAAAATCCGCAATTACTTAGTTGCCAACCCAATATGTTGTAACCTTGTACTGGTTTTGTGAATATTACCCATTGACACAATTGTTACTGGAGCTGGATAGCCATAATGGTCAGTACTTCTTCACTACAAATGATATAAATCTCATAAATTATTTCATGGCTGGGACACAGAAAACATATCTATTAACTCAAGACAGAGCTGTGATCGGTATCTGCATTAAGCTCTGAAATAGCTATGTTTAACACAAAACACCTACAAGTTATAGTATACATATGGGATGAAACATTAGGTTATGTTGTATAACTTCATTTCTAGAAGCAAATATCCACATAGCACATTTTGTTTGGCAATAGATTTAAATACTGAATACTTATAAGTAGAGCATGAACACTAATTAATAAAAATGTATGTCTTGAATGCCATTTGCATATAGCCAATAGAAAGGAAAAACCTCATTTGCTCATAAAACTTTGGATTTGATTGAAGATTAATATAAGCTGAATTCTGTGTTGGTAGCATCTGCAACGGTGTGGAACTTATCTTGTAAATCTGTATGCCATAACATTTCAGGCATAATTCATTTTTGTTAAGGAGGCAAAATATTTTAGACTGCAGTGCTAAAACACTAAGTATATTTTCCATTTCCATATTGCTTACAAAATGCTGTGAAAAGTGTAATTCAATCTAATGGTTTCAAACTTGGGAAAGAGTGGAGGAAATACAAAACCCATAAAATCTGAACGTGAAATAAGAGAATGGTGGTGTAATGGTGTATTTAATTATGGCAAAGCACACGAGTGCTATCTGCCTAAGGGGAGGGATGCTTTCGTGGAGGACTTTCTAAGGGAAACTGGCTCGTATACACGTTACACATGGGAAAAACCACGAAAACGCCCATGCAGCCAGCCCGTTCGCGGGATTCGAACCTCGGACCGAACTACCAGTGTTCAGCGACTTTACCGCTCGGCCGCTGGTGGGCTCTGAAATAAGAGAAACAGTCTAAACCTTTTCAATTAGCCTAGATATATGTGGCTTTAAATTTCTCTTTCATAAGAGGGCATAAAGGATAACCAAATGTTACTCTAAGTCACTATACTTTTAAATAACTTGGCCTTTATCTGACATAAATGAAGATTTTTCTAGTGAAGAAGCAAACAAATAGTTTACTATTTATTTTTATCAAATTACAATTTATACACCTCATGCAGTGTCAGCAGTAATCATTATGCCACCTGGCACAATCTACAAATTCTAGATTCTATCTGCATAAGTTTCTAAAAAAAAAAAAAAACTCTTAAATTCTGCCATCTGGCATGATTGCACCATCCCTGATCTTACACAATGAAGTTTCTTTACTGCATTGCTAAGTAAAGTTTGTTACTAATCTAATATCTTCTCAAAAATAGGAAGATTCTCCTTTGGGTAGATAAGCATATGCCTTTCCATATTATTCCTCTAAATATATTTTTACAGGTGTAACTCATGAGATTTTTCTCTTATGTAGATATGGTTACTTAAAGCACGATTTTGTATAGATGATATTTACGTACCTCATACAAAAGGTTTCTATGCTAAGTTATTAAGTGTATGTTTGTTTAATTTATACTTTTAACAAAATGACTTCTAACACACTTTATGCAGATCAGTCTACTCTTTAGCGTGATTGAGCACATGTTTATTTATCTGATTCTTTCGACAAAATGACTTATTACATATTTCACACATATGAGGTTTCTTCTCGGCGTGAATACGCATATGCTCCCACAAAACACGCTCTTGCTTATATGACTTCTAACACACTTTATACAGATCAGTCTACTCTTTAGTGTGATTGAGCACATGTTTATTTAACTGATTCTTTCGACAAAATGACTTATTACATATTTCACACATATGAGGTTTCTTCTCCGCGTGAATACGCATATGCTCCCACAAAACACGCTTTTGCTTATATGACTTCTTACATACTTCACATACATGAGGTTTCTCTTGGGTGTGAATAAACATATGGCTATTTAAATAATACTTTTCAGAAAATGACTTCGTACATACTTCACATTTATGAGGTTTCTCTCCTGTGTGAATACGCATATGTTTATTTAAATGAGTCTTTCGACAAAATGACTTATTACATATTTCACACATATGAGGTTTCTCCCCAGTGTGAATACGCATATGCTCCCACAAAAAACGCTTTTGCTTATATGACTTTTTACATACTTCACACACATGAGGTTTCTCTTGGGTGTGAATAAACATATGGCTGTTTAAGCAACGCTTTTCAGAAAATGACTTCATACATACTTCACATTTATGAGGTTTCTCTCCTGTGTGACTACGCATATGTATGTTTAAATAACTCTTTTGACTAAATGACTTCTTACATACTTCACACTTATGAGGCTTCTCTCCTCTGTGAACAAGCGCATGTTTTTTTAAATAACCCTTTTCACTAAATGACTTCTCACAGTCTTCACACTTATGAGGTTTCTCTCCAGTATGAACAAGCATATGCATCTTTAACCTATGCTTTACATTAAACTTTTTCTGACATATTTCACACTCATGAGGTTTCTCTCCTGAGTGAATAAGCATATGCTCTTTTAAACTATCCTTACGACTAAATAATGTCTTGCATATTTCACACTTATGTGGTTTCTCTCCTGTGTGAACAAGAATATGTTTGTTTAAAGCACTCTTTTCCTTAAATGATTTTGTACATACTTCACACTTATGATGTTTCTCTCCTGTATGAATAAGCATATGTATATTTAAACTACGCTTTACCTTAAATTTTTTCTGACATACCTCACACACATGAGGTTTCTCAATTGTGTGAATAAGCATATGTTCATTTAAAATACTCTTAAAACGAAATGGCATCTTACATATTTCACACATATATGGTTTCTCTCCTGTGTGAATAAGCATATGCTTCTTTAAATAACCCTTTCGATTAAATGACTTCTCACATACGTTACATACGTGAGGTTTCTCTCCTGTGTGAATAAGCAGATGATCATTTAAACTACCCTTATGACGAAATCGCATCTTACATATTTCACATATATGTGGTTTCTCTCCTGTATGAATAAGCATGTGCTTTTTCAAACTACACTTCAGACTATATGACCTTTTACATACTTCACATGCATGAGATTTTTCTCTTGTGTGAATAAGCATATGCTTGTGTAAAGAACTCCTTTGACTAAACGACTTCTTGCATATTTCACACACATTAGATTTCTCTCCTGTGTGAATAAGCATATGAATATATAAACTACCCTTTTGACTAAATGACTTCTTACATACTTCACAGACATGAGGTTTCTCTCCTGTATGAATAAGCATATGATTATTTAAATGACTCTTCCGACTAAACAATTTCTTGCATACTTCACACACATGAAGTTTCTCTCTTGAATGAACAAGCATATGCCTCCCTAAATTATGCTTAAGTGTGAATGACTGATCACAATCCACGCACACGTCAGGTTTTTCCTCTGTCTGGGTACCCATAAGCTCTTTCAAAACATTAAATTTTTTCCAAATAATTGGTTACATATCCCTAGACATGAAATTTTTTCAAAATATAGTTACGTTTTTGACATCATAGAACTTGCTACATACCTCAAGATGATGCTTATGTTCTGCATGGATGTAAAATGGGTTGGTTAACGGAAATCGTACTCAAAGTAGTTCTCAGATACTTCACACTAGCTTTCAGTGCCTTCTGCAACTATACTCGAGATTATGATGAAAAAAATATTAATATATATTGTGCATAAGACTGGTCTAATTTGCGACATAGGCAAGGGTTGATTTCTAAGAACACTTCAGTTAAACTCAGTTTGTGAAATTTGACACAAAATTCCTGTTCTCTTGTTAACAATCCTTGTTCAAGAATATATATGTGCTTACTCGTGAATTTACGTAATTGTATCATATATGCTATTGTACGACTATATGAAGTTTTGATTCTTCTTAATTGTTTAGGAAGCGCTTAAGATTTTGAAGAAATTACTTATTTAAGAGTGCCACATATTTTCCACATCTCATGTTACCGAATTTGCGCTGTATTTTGCTGTAGAAGAAGACAACTTTACATTAATTTGTAATGAACACTGCTCATTTATTACTTAATTCCACTAACGGACGAAGAACCACAGAACCAGAGTGAACCCAGAAATTAAACTCCGGATAGACAATATAAAAAAAATATACTATTTTGCGTCCGCTAAGTCTTTTTGCCCATTGAACGAAAATTAAATACACAATTTCTTCAATTTCAAAAGTAGTAAGTACATTCTACATTCTTCTAAAGGTTTTAGCCTTGAAATTATTTGTGAGTAAAACAAAGATACTTAGTTACAGTATACTGGGTTTCTACTGCACTGTGGCAGTACTTCCCAGTAACAGGAGAGATATCTCGAAGGAATACAGCTTTGAAGAAAAACAGGTAGGTCCTGTAGCAACATAATTGAACTGCGGTGCTTAACCACCAGGGTGCCTGGGCGCCATAACCCTACCCCTCATCGAATAACATGATAAAAGTTTCGAATTATGAGAAATATAACTGAATGTGCTAAATAATTAAATGAGTAAGAGTTTAAATTCATAATTGCTAATAGTTAAATACATATTTTTTTCTTAAGTACCTAATTACTAATCCATACATAATTAACTATTTTTAACAACTATTTCACAGTAGAGAATACATGTACAAACAAGAGAACAAAATACGAAGTGCGACGCCTTAGTGCCACTAGTTAAACAAAATGCAATCAGGAGGAAAAAGAACAATATACAATAAAGAATCTGAGCAACAATTTGCATAACACATAAAAAATTACATATTACTAACATTTAGGATCGCCTTTGGGCGTTTACTGAAATTGAGGTCCCTAGTATCATAACAATAGTTAACAACCACAGGATTGTCCAGAAGTTCCTGTTTATCATAAAATGCCCTATATAGGCGGCAATAAAAATCACAAAGATCCTCTATTCTTAACTCTTTACGAATTGGCTATTCCGAATGTACCAGGAGGCATTACATATCATACATACGCAATACCCGTTTTGGGCGCTTGTAACTGCCTTCTCAAACTTTTGCACGAGTATGCCAGACGGGGATTGCATAACTAAGAATTGGACGCAACATGGTTTTGTAAATAACCAACTTATTATCAATAGATAGAACACTGTTTCGAGCATTTAAGGGGAAGAGTGAAGCTTTACTAGCTCGAAACTTCCTGAAATGTGTAACGTGTGGGTTCCATGTAAGAGATTTACTGAGGATCACCCCAAGATAAGGGACCTGCTTGACCCAGGGATGTCCACACCATACATTTGCAGGTGAGTCGGGAAATTCTTCTTAGTAGTAAACAGTATGGCATGTGTCTTGTCGACATTCACTTTGACTTTCCATTTGGTCAGCCAAGTCTCTAGCGAGTGGGTGTGGTGTTGTAGCTGTTGTATTGCTGAACTAACAAATGCACTTTGCGTAAGGATTGCTTAGTCGTCTGCATACATGGCTAGTGTTGTGTTGTATGTAGTGGGGATGTGGTTCACGTAAATATTGAATAGGATAGGGCCCAGAAGGGATCCCTTTGGAACACCAGCCCGTATAGGCCGGTTTGTGGATAATGAACCAGAAACATGAACGACAAAGCGTCTACCGGTTAGGTAGGATTTAATTATGTTTGTGATGTAGTCTGGGAATTCCAGGTTGCGTAATTTGTATATGAGGCCATCCAGCCATACTCTATCGAAGGCCTTGGCGACATCTAAGAAAAGTCCACCAGTGACACGATGTTGTTGCATCCCACTGCTTATTAACTCAACAACTCTGTAGAGTTGATGCGTTTGTCGATTGCTTACGCCTGAACCCAAACTGATAGGGTATGAGGATCTTCTGCTCATCCAGGAAGATGTTTAGTCTATGGAGAATAACTGCTTCCACGATTTTGCTAATTGAGCTTAGCAAACTGATTGGTCAGTAACTCTCAGGAGCAGTCACAGGCTTGTTTTGCTTTAGCAGAGGGACAATCTTCGCCATTTTCCAACAGGTAGGTCCTGTAGCAGGAGATCATCAGAAGGGGAGTAAAATAAAAGCATAAGGTTCGGAGAACAGCCTTAAAGCCAAAATGGGGAGAAACAGCTTATTATGGTAGACCACGTTATGGTTATCATCCGATGACGTACTTCTTCGAGGAGGACAGCGTGATACTTTTTCCCTACTAAGGGATTATCAGTAGTAGCAGATTCAGAAAATATTATTATGTTTGCTGTTTGCTTATCAAGCAAAGAGTATTAAATTAGAAATAGCACATGATTGAATAAAATATTGATAATTATATGTAAAAATAAGGGTTTAATCCTAGTATCCTGTGCACACGGGATTTGGCTACTTTTGGTGACTTTTATGATGAGCAGTAAAAACGGGAGTAAACGAGTATTCAAAGAATATATATAGTTATACATAGTATATACTGTGTATATAGTGATAGTATATAGTGTATAGTATATACATAGACGTTCTTTAGGTCATTTTTGGTGTTGGCGATAATTTTCAAAATCGCGCGAAGGCTGCACCGTATACTAGGATTTTACCAAAATAAGTGTCTTGCACCTGTAGATATTTATTTAATACTTTATTTTCTGTTTTCATTTGCTTTGTTATGCTTCCCTGTACTCATCAATGTTCAGACATGGCTTATTATATAGCTTTTTAGTATTTATTTTATGTGCATTGATTGCAAGTAATCTATAAACATTTTCTTGTACTTTCTTTCTTGCAATGTGTGCTTTAATATCGTAATGCAATAAAATAAGTCAATGTGTGCTTTCATATCATATTCATAGTTATGTACAGTAATCTGAAATCAGAGGAACTTTAAATTTGCCTATAGAGTGGCAGTTTTACTTCACAGTTGCTAGAAATATCTGGCTTAAACATACCTCAGTTTCTCAGACTAAACATATTTGCAGTATATTTGTTCTAGGACATTTGTAGCCTCAGTCTGATATTTAGTTTATAGCACATTTAATATTTTTAGTGTTTATTGTACGAATTAGAAATAATAATAACTTTTTAGAATAGGTATGCGATAATTTGTGTGCTGTTAGACATGTAATGCTTTCAAGTCTTAATTGTTCAAAATTCGACAAAAGCAATGGTATTGTATTTCATTTTTTAACTGCAGTATAAATATAAAAATTTCATTAAACCTGTTAGAAGGATACATATTTTGTACTATTTAAACACATATTTAGTTACATGCATTATGTAGTGGAAAGAGTAATTTGCATTAAACATTTCCTCATCTTTATAGTATTTTATATATATACTACAGTCAAAAGTCTTTAATCCGGACGTCCATAATCCGGAATAATCTATAATCCGGACCTCAAAGCTACAAACTTTCGGCGCATGCGTAGCATGCGCATAATACCTTTACTCATGCGCATATACGTTTACGCATGCGCATAATACGTTTACTCATGCGCTTTTAATGTATAACGGACGGTATAAGCTAAGCTAAAATTATCTAATTATCTATTTCAGTCAGTTAATGTTGCAGATTGCGTTGTTCCTTAATCTTCTAATTGGATCCGGCTTATTATTTTTTGCAGACTGTTAGAGTAATTTTATAAAACTAAACTTGAACTTTCGATTATGTCAAAAAGAATTTCCGTTTCTGGAGCTGCTAAAAGATCTACAAAGCGAAAGCATGTTTCGATGTCCATCAAACAAAAAGTGGAATTGCTGCAAAAAATGGGTAAAGGCATATCCTTTGTTTCTCTAACCATTCCGAATCTGTTTATCAATTTCACACTAATCTCGGGGGGGGGACGTCGCGGCGGCGCAATGAACTGGAAGTTGATCTGTCAGCACTATTCGTTATCTTCAGGCAGATGTTTTTATTTTATTTCGGCTTATAATTCCTTACTAAATGTAGTATTTCATCTCAGATGTACTCCGCCTTTGATATGATTTAAATCAAATTCCTGTCATATAAATATCACGAATACACATCAAATAGTTTTGGTTGCAATTTTCTAATTTCGACTATGCGTAATGTATGCTTTAGCATGGCGCGTGAAGAAATGTTTAATAAAGTAAACAAATAAAATTAAGCCTTTTTTTGTAAATTTTGATACCCTTTAGATCATACTGCTCCTTATTTCTAAATTACGGTTTCATATTTTTAATTTCATAATTTCTGCATGCCATCTTACCAGATTTAAACTGATGATCTATAATCCGGAAAAACCGATAATTCAGAAGCGCCGAGTCCCGATGAGTCCGATTAAACTTTGACTGTATAATGCATTATAAACTGAGAATCTCAATAAATTTAATAATTAATATTTCCTGATGTCATAAAATAATGCTGTATGCAGTTAATAAAAAGTGGATTTAAATGCTATAAGAAATAAACTAAAAATAGTTTGTTTTCATTTTTGATTTTAATTGTCATAAATATAAATCATCTCCAACTTACAGAATGTGATAGTGAAAATTTTTGCAGTATTTCCTTCATGATTTATTTAATTTAATTAAGTAAACTGAAGTCCTTGGTAATTGTTTATGATTACAGCAAGATATTTGAGAATTATTATAAATGCAATTGTACAAATAGATATGCAACTTCATGCATTACAATGACAGTGGATCCTATTTACGAAACAGAGATTGATTCTACTGCAGATCTTGTCAGCTAATTAGCATCACTGCAGCAGAGACTTGCTGAATAGTTTTCAAAGTATATGCCAATCACTTTTTTGTCATTGTGATGCATGTATTGCAGTTAGTAACAGTTCATCTGAACAATTCTGATAAATATCAAGCATTATTTCTTGTAAAGATCTATGATTAAAATGGCATTTTATTTTTTATTCTCTATGTTCTTTGCACTTAATATGTTTTTGTATTCATTTTTCACATTCCACAATACATTGTATTGCGAAAATTATTACTTAAGCCATGTTATATTATACCTTAGAGGCAAATAAAAATTAAATTTTATGTATATTAGGAATAGTATTTATGTGATAGTTGAATATAGAGTTCATATCATAAGTCATATACATAACTACCTATCAAATGTTTTGCAATGAAATTATTATCTCCTTTTTACCAAATAAAAACAAAATGAGGCATTAACACCTGTAAGCTATGTAAATAATGATGCATAGAAAATCTGTAAGGCATCTAAATAATGAAACATGTAAAATCTGTTACTCATGTAAGAGCAATACAGTTATTCAACTAATATGTTTAACAATAATATTGATTCTAGATTAGCTAATTGGCCCCCTTCTTGAAAAAAACATATAATGCATAGGACATTTTACAGAATTACAGCTAAACTCAAATTACATACTTTTTAATTTACTTATTTAGTAATACTTTGACTTATTGTATTGTGA